ATTAGCGGTAGTTGCATTGCATATCTAGTCAAACAGAAAATCCCAACTCCTCAAACTGTATCTTTCGTGGTTTGATTAGATTCCCTGCCATGTGCTTATGTATTTGGTCTCGAATTCTACATGTTCTGTTTAAGATTATATTCCTGTTTTTGATAGTTTCCTCTGTCCTAATCCTATTAAACAAATTAATTAAACTAATATGATCATAATGATTAATTAATTCTTGATCTTGTGTGGAATCTGCAGATCTCTCCAATCAGATTATTGCCACCATTAACAATAATAGAGGATGGATGAGAACATTATCTGGTGATACAGAAAAGCCATGGAGGGAAAGAAAGGGGTGGATGATAACAATTCATGACCTATCCGGCTCGCCTGTGGCGGCCGCTTCCATGATCACTCCCTTTGTACCCTCTCCAGGCACTGACCGCGTATCCAGGTCAAACCCTGGAGCATGGCTCATCCTCCGACCCCATGGGTTCTCAATCAGCAGTTGGAAGCCATGGGGCCGTCTTGAGGCATGGCGCGAGAGAGGGCCTATTGATGGCTTGGGGTACAAGTTTGAGCTTGTCACTGACAATGGGCCTAGCAGCAGCATTACCATTGCCGAAGGTACACTGAGTGTCAAAAAGGGCGGACAGTTTTGCATCGACAGTAGGTTAAATAGAGATTCAGGTTTGAAATCGAGGTCACCCGTGAAAGGTTTCGTGACGGGGTCGACCGTGGAAGGTGAAGGAAAGGTTAGCAAGCCGGTGGTACAAGTCGGAGTGCAGCATGTAACTTGCATGGCTGATGCTGCTCTTTTCGTCGCGCTTTCTGCCGCCATTGATCTCAGCATGGACGCTTGCCGGCTGTTTTCTCATAAACTCCGAAAGGAGCTTTGCCATGATGAGCAGAATTGCTTCTCCTAACTAAAACTGGTTTAAATCTTAATTTTCTTACTAATTCATCCTCTCTGCCGCTGTGACAACGAATTAGTTTTTACTAAGTTTGAGCACTGAAATATGCATAATTTTTTATTTTTAATTTCATTTTTCTCCACATTCTTTGATTTGATTTTCCTGGTTTTGATTCTGCCAGTGGTTTTGGTGTTGGTTACACATTGTAAATGTATTAGGGAAATTTATAATATTACATCGTTCTGTGACCTATATACAAGAAACTTGCAAATAATATGGGCAAAAAAAGAGAATTGTTTGCAATTTTATGGTTTATTGTATTTTTCGGGGGAAATTGTAGCAGTCCCTCAACTTTAAACCAATTGGAATAATGATCCCTAACTAAAAATCTATGACACTTGGTTCCCTAAGACCATCTCCAACCGCAGGGTCCAGAGGGCCGAAAATAGTTCGAAAACCGTCTCCAACCGAGGGCTAAGCCAAAGGGCTTGTGGGCCCCACTAGACAAAAAAGGGCCAAAGAGCCAGCCAGCCAGCCTCGGGCTAGGCTAGAATTTTGAGTATTCTTGTCAGATATAACCGACAAATTGTACTTATTCATGTCGGTTATATTCGACAGGAATGGTAGGCCTTTTTTTTTTTTAACAAAATTTTTAATTTTTTTTCTAAATTCTATTTTTTTTCCTATAACTTCCTAAGCCATTATACAACATTAAACAATATCAAACAACATTAAATAACATTAAATTTAAATAATAAATTATGTTTGGTCCTATGGCCCTCGGTTGGAGACGAATTTTTTGTGACAGAGCTAAAACGAGCCCTATGGCCTTTGGTTGGAGATGGGGGCAAATATGGCCATGTATTGTTCATTAAAATATTCATATATTGGAGGACTAGAGGGCTAAAATGAGCCATCTGGCCCTCGTTCGGTTGGAGATGGCCTAACTCAACCAAATATGCCATTGTCTTTTTCATCAACTCCGTCAGAACTTCCGTCAAAATGAGACACGTGTCATGCACGTGAGGCTGAATCAAGGGCTAAATATAGAAACCCAAATGAGAAAGTTATAGCAATGGTCCCTCAATTTTAACTTAATTAGAGAAATTGTCCCTCAACGTTAATCCAATTATAGCAATGACTGACACACCTCGACTCGGTATGTCCACTACGACTCTGAATCGAGCTGTGTTGGCCGACACCTTAAATGTGACGAAGCCATAAAGTATAGTGATGTGAAAAATGTAAATAAATTTAAACCTAAAAGTGCCTAAATATAAGATTGCGCTGGTGACCGAGAATGAACCCATTTCACACGTGATTACAGATCATAAGTAAGGTACAATAAGGTAAGATAATGATTATACCATCATCCATCATAGGTAAACACATGTTTTATTTGATGAACATGTGTTTCCTTGATTCCATAAGCTTTCTAGCTCTGAGATCTCTAGCTCTCAGTCACCTAAACCTTTGGTTGTGCATCCCACTACTTTTCATCATCCACCACTGGTTCTTATTCCTTTCCCACAACTTTTTTCTCAGTTTACTTCTCCAACAAATGTTACTCAGTATTGCTCTCAGTCAACAAGTGACCTTGTCTCTACTAGTGGATCTCCGCAGTTGGTTCAAGACCCTACTTCTACACAAGTGCCTCATTCTGAGTTATATCCAGATTTGTCCATGTCTCAAGCAACAGTGTTACAACAAGTGTCTTTATCCTCAGGAAATGTTCATCTAATGCAGACTAGATCTAAGTCTGGCATTATCAAGAAGAAGCAAGTTTTTAGTGCTCATGTGCAAGAAGATTTCTTTGTCATAAAGCCTCAGTCCTACTCTACAACATCCAAACTTGCTTATTGGAAAACAGCTATGCAAGAAGAGATGGATGCCTTAGTTCAATAGGGCAATTGGAGTTTAGTTTCACTTCTTCCCAATAAAAATGTGGTAAGGTGTAAATGGATATATAAAGTTAAAAAGCATCTTGATGGTTCAGTTGCTTGCTATAAAGCCCAATTAGTGGCTAAGGGGTTCTCTCAGGAAGTTGGCCTTGATTTACTATGAAACATTTAGCCCTGTAGTTAAACTTACTACAATGAGGCTTATGTTATCTCTAGCTGCTTCAAAAAGGTGGAAACTGAAACAACTGGATGTCAAAAACGCTTTCTTACATGGCTTTCTTGACGAAAAAGTCTTTATGGCTCAACCACAAGGCTTTGTGGATGTTGATCACCTTGAGTATGTTTGTAAACTTCAAAGGTCTCTCTATGACTACAACAAGCTCTCAGAGCTTGGAATGAGAGATTTACCAGGTTTCTTTTATCTTTGGGGTTTTAATCCTCATATGCGAATCCATCATTGTTTGTGAAGTCTACTAGCCAGTCTATTGTTGTTCTCCTGTATATTGATGATATAATGTTGACTAGGAATGTTGAGAGTCATGTTCAAGTTATGATCAATCAATTGACCAAAGAATTTGATATGAAGGATCTTGGTCTGCTGCACTATTTCCTTGGCTTACAGATTGAATATCAAGCTCAAGGTATCTTTGTTCATCAGTCCAAATATATTACAAATCTTTTGCAGAAAACTGATATGCTTCATTGCAAGCCATGCATCACTCATTGTCATCTCAATCACAAGTTACTAAATCATGGTAGCTCTTCTGTTTTGGATCCTAGTCTTTACAGAAGCATAGTTGAAGCATTACAGTACCTCACCTTCACACACCCAGACATTGCGTATTCAGTTAATCAAGTGTGTCAGTTCATGCATTCCCCTATTGAAGATCATTTTGTTGTTGTAAAACGAATTTTGAGGTATCTTCGAGGTACCATTGGTCTCATACTATGTTTTAGACCTGGTTTCATGGATATTAAGGCATACACAGATGCTAATTAGGCTGGTGACTCGAATAATAGGCGTTCAACCACTTGTTTTGTTGTGTTTTTAGGCTCTAATTCGGTTTCTTGGAGTTCTAAGAAACAACATACAGTAAGTCGGTCATCTACAGAAGCTGAATATCAAGCAATGGCTACTACCACTACTGAAGTAGTGTGGATTCAACAGCTACTCAAGGATCTGCATCTTTATAGTTCATCTATTCCCCCACTACACTGTGACAATATTTCTACTAATCATGTGTTACACTCCAAAGCAAAGCATATTGAAGTTGACTGCCACTTTGTGCAAGAATGTGTTCAACAAGGCACAATTTTGTTGCAGCTTGTCTCTTCTACAGAACAGTGTGCATATGTGCTTACTAAGGGGTTGTGCTCTTCTGAGTTCAATGTCCATTGTTCCAATCTTATGCTCGGTTCTCACCTCCATAAGATTGAGGGGGAATGTTAGGCTATAGAGATTAGCTTAGGATTGTGCCAAGTGTTATGTATTAGATGTGTGCCATGTATCACAAGTGTATTAGATGAGTTAATTATATGGGGATGTATTTATATATAAACAAGTGATATAATAATATTAATCAATACAGTGAACTATTGAAGAAATACACAATCTCTCTCTCTCTCTACTTTCTCTCTCACAACTCTATGTAAGATTTGTTAACATAAATTACTATCTATTTATCCAATAAAATGGCAAAAACCAAAAAGGAAATTACTACCCAACTAAAGAGAAAAACCATTTCGCATGATTGTATTGGTCTCGAGGTACTAGGTTCTCACTTAGTTAAATTTCACCTTCATGAAGGCAGCGGATATATGCTATATCATGACTTATTATAGTTTGTTGTAAGTTACGAATGTTCATTTTATAAGTAATGTTAAATCCTATAAAACCCGTGAATGCGATTTATTTTCTAAAATTTGATTGCTTTTCTGGTGATGAAACTAAAATTATTTGTTTTTATAAAATTTTTTATAAGTAATGTTAAATCCTATAAAACCTGTGAATGCGATTTATTTTCTAAAATTTGATTGCTTTTCTGGTGATGAAACTAAAATTAATTGTTTTTATAAAAATTGATGTAAAATAATTATAGTTTTTACCGAAAAAATAAAAACCAAACTAAAATGCGGTAAAATTTGTAGTTTTTGCGGCAAAATTTGTACGTAAAAACTCTCGGGTTCGGATAAAATCATAAAAGAACAGGACAAAACCCCCCAAAATCGTTTAGAAAAAAAAGCTCTCGGAGTCTCTCCCTCCTCCCTCCTTCTCGATTCTCAATCCGAAACCAGAAAGCTCTTTCCGATTCCCGCAAAGATCTTTCTGGGTTCAGCAAAATCAATGGCCTCCGTTCGCCACCGCCCTCTCCTCCTCCTCATCACCCTCCTCGCAATCCCCACGTCCTTATCATCCCAATCCATCATCCAAATGCCGACGAAACGACACCGCGTCTCCGCCTCCGACGACAGCCTCTTCTGCGACAGCTGGAGATTCTCCGTCGAGACCAACGACGCCGGGACCTGGTCCAACATTCCGTCCAGGTGCGTCGGGTTCGTCCAGAACTACATGACCGGCGACCGGTACCTGTCCGATTCGGCGGCCGTCGCGAATTTCTCGCTGAGCTTCGCGAAGGGGGTGACCATAGGCGGCGATGGGAAGGACGCGTGGGTGTTCGACATCGATGAGACTCTGCTTTCGAATTTGCCCTACTATCAGGCACATGGATTCGGGTAAGCTCCAGTCGATCACAACCGTCCGATTTTCTTTGATTGGTTTGATTTTAACTGCAGATTAAATTGTTGTGGGTTAGGAATGTTAGGCCTTTTGTGGTTGGTGTGGAATATAATTCGTCATTGGCAGGTGGGATTAGCTAATGAGAGGCCGCCACGTAAGGTAGATAGATAGTGTACTGTGTGATGCATGCTAGGGTGCAGGCCCCACCCAAAGCAGAAAGTGTGATGATCTTGATCTAATTTTAAGCTTTGCGACAAATGTCCAATTTGATGAGGAAATATGGAATGATTGGATTTTGATTGTAAAATTGTATGTTTATAGAATTTAGAAGTTTAGATTCATGCATAAGAGAGCCTTTATTAGGAGAGAATGTCATACCTCTGCAGTCTGCAGATATATTTTTTAGTGTCGGTAACACTCAGGTCACGTGATAAGGGCGGTTAACGTTAGAGATAGCTGGTGACTCAATGAATTTTCTCCATTGTTACAGGGCATTCTTTGTAGCCTTCATTTTGGTTTGTTTGTTTGTTGATCATTTGGTTTGTTAACTTATGAGTATTGCTTGTAAAAGATGATGATGCTGCATATACCCTATTAGTTTGTGCCAAAGTGATACCTTGCACATTGTGACTTGTGACAAAGCACAGTGAGAAGGTCTAAATGGGAAGAAACAGTGTGACTTTTAGCAATTTAGAGTGAGAAGGAAATAACTTTTAGCAATTTGGTAACATTGTAATTTGGAGAAAACATTTCAAACCCAATACTTTAGTGGAAAACTTAACAGACGTGGTAATGAGGGAAGGGCACCATAGGAAATTACACAACTTCAAATCAATTAGAGCAAGACAAGTGGATAGATAAGTCATTTAAAACTCATCGTTGTTGGGGTGTTTTTTTTTTTTTTTTTCCTAATTTACACGGGGTAAGGGGAAAGGCAACATATAGCTGAAGTATGGGTAAGGTAAACAATCTTATTTGTGTTATACAGAACACATTTATGCTGCAGATTCCAGTTTTTTTTTCTTTGACGAACTGGGGTTGCATAATCATCACATTGTTCACTGCCTTCAAGTCCTCTATCCTCCATCGTAGCAATGAGAGTTCCACTGAAAACTCTCTGTTTTTCTTTGTAATTTTCGATTTCCCAACATCACTCTTAGCCGGTATAGGTCTGGTTTATGTTCCTTTAACTAGAGTGAGTTATGCGGGATTCTTAAAATACATCAATGATTTTAGTTGTCTTAATTGATAAGTTTTCCATACGATGAAATTTGACTGGGTCTACATTCTTTTGGACATAGATCAGAGACGTTCGATGAAGCATCTTTCGATGAGTGGGTGGAGTTGGCTGAGGCCCCTGCTCTCCCAGCAAGTTTAAATCTATACAGTCAGCTTGAGCGGTTGGGTTTCAAGATTTTTCTGTTAACTGGGCGGAGCGAATATCAGAGAAATGCCACCGCGAAAAACCTTCTAGTTGCAGGTTACAACAATTGGGAGAGGCTGCTGCTGAGGTACATTGCGCTAACTTCATTTCTTTCCTTGTCTTTCTTCGTAACTTGGTAGTAAAGACTGTTGATGTTTGGTTAATCCGTTAATGATACAGAGGACCTTCTGATCAAGGAACACTTGCCACGGTCTTCAAATCCCAGAAGAGATCGAACTTGATAAATGAAGGTTATCGAATTCATGGGAGCTCGGGAGATCAATGGAGTGATTTGGTGGGTTTTGCAATTGCTCAACGATCCTTTAAACTTCCAAACCCAATGTATTACATTGCCTAGCAAATTACCAACATTCAGCAATTGTCTGTAATATAATTACATTCTTGTATTTTCCCTTAAGTTCAATTGCCACAGTGATTAAAATTGGTTGCCATCGTTCGTCTGCTAACCCGGCGGCGAGCCAATCCAATCCGGAGAACCTTGTATTTGTATTCATCTTTTCAAGTGGTATGAAAGTCGGCTTGATTTAGATTTTAGAGTCGCATATGCCTTGTTTCATTTGATTGGAATAAGTTGGTGCAAACAGGAGTGCCAGGAACAGTCACACACTCGTGCATAGATGATCGAGCCAAGTGCCTACACAAATGATCCCACCATTTTTTGTGGAAAACTTAAAAGACTTGTTTATGAATGCTTCTAAAGAAAACACTTTTAGCGCTTCAAGAATTATTAGAAACAAGTTGAAACTTTTATTGAAAAACCAAGTGCACTTCAAAAAATACTTGGACGTGGTTGCTTCTTGATAAAGTGCTTATACAATCCACAAGCGTTTTTAAGTTTTCTGTCCAAACGGAATTAGAAGTGCTTTTGCCGGTTACAACAATTGGGTAGAAACATTCAAGTTCTCAAGTATGTTTGTTCAACAACGGCAAAGACGAAAGCTTTTAATTATATGAGCACTGGATTGGAAATGCCAAAACAAGATTTTCAAAAGTTGAGATGAAGTCACGTGACACAAGCCGATAAACATACATGCGAGTGCGGCACAAAAAGATATCACATAAATTCCATAAGAATGTCACATGACAAACAGAAGCAAACCATTTTATATATCCCACTGTTTCTGCTCACGATTCTTCCATTGCTCAAATCCAAAGCCAATCATGAAATCTGCTTTTTAAAATAGTGCTTCTGGGAATCTTGGTTAACAAAACATTTGTCTGGATATTAGAGAAATTAAGCTTTGAAATCTCCTTATGGAGAAGACGACGGGTAGCGGGACCCACAGACCAGAGGCTTGGACCCCGGAATTCTCAGGCAATTCAACCCGCCGCCCGGAATCAGAGAGCATTCTGGCTGCGGCCGCTGCATGTTCCGCCCGGGAATGCAATTCAGAGAGAAATCAAACCACACATTCCGGTCAGACAACTTCGTACATTCCTGACTAAACCCAGAAAAGAAATTGTAAGCAACGGTCAGATTCTCCAGGCTTTTCAACGAACACACCAAGTCCGGCAGCACCCCCGACAGCTCGTTGTGCGCCAAGTTCAGAACTTCGATTTCTTCCAGGCAAGAAATCGTGTCGGGAAGATGACCCATCAGGGAATTATGGCTTGCATCGAACACCTTAACGTCTGTGAAGATCCCGACTCCTTCGGGAATGCAGCCGGTTAACTGGTTGTTGAGGAACAAAATCTCCTTCAGTTTCGTCCCCATGAAGCCGAAGCTGGCCGGGAGGTTTCCGGTGAACTGGTTGTTTGCGAAATTGATGACGGAGGCTTGGGAGTTTCCTAAACTCTCGGGGATTTCGCCTTCGAAATTGTTGTTGTTGAGGAAGATCGCGTCGAGTTTTTGGTTGAAGAGTTCGCCCGGGATGGTGCCGGAGAAGCTGTTGTATCGGAGGTCGAGGTAGATGAGGTTCGGAATTTGTAATGTGACCGTTGGGAAGCTGCCGGAGAAGTCGTTGTTGCTGAGGTCGAGTTCTTGGAGGGCGGTGAGGTCTCGGAAAGTTTCGGGGATTTGGCCGGAGAATCTGTTGCTATTGAGGTGGATGAGAGAGAGTTGAGAGAGTAAAGAGAGCTCTTGGACGAGATTGCCCTTGAGATTGGCGTGGTTGAGATCTATGCCTGCAACTTCTTGAGAATCAGGTGAGCAGAAAACCCCTCTGTAAGAACACACATTCGGGCCGACCCATGAGTCTAGAACCTTTGATGGGTCGTCGGAGATGGCGGATTTCCACCCCTGGAGGGCGGTGAAAGCTCTCTCGAGGCCTGAAGGAGAAGACCCAGACGGGACTGGGGGATTCCCATTTCCATTGATTCCTCCACCAATCCAGACACCGCCGCCGCCAATAGGGCCAACATTGACACCAACTCCGCCGCCCACATTAATCCCAGCTTCCGTGGGGATAGCAATCAGTAGGAGAAGTGCAAGAAACCACCACCATTTCTCCATTTTTTTAGTGGAGAAAACACTATAATGCTTCTTTGCTGGGTTCACTTGTAAAGTTGTCCAAATACGTTTGCAGCATTGATGAGAGTAGAAACTGGTGGGGTTTATTTGGCCTTGAACGAGAGTAAAATGTATTGTAACAATACTATTGTTGGCTTAAGATACCACTTCGTGACATTTTTGTTCACATGAAAGTGTCCATGATCGAGATATTGTTATAATAATATCACCGTAAAATAAAAATGATCATGATCAAGATACTGTTTCCATAACATTTCTTATTGGATGAAACTGTTTTAATTATATTTTTTTTATTAATGTTTTAGTTTTCGTTTTAATGTTCTGGTTGTTACATTTCACTGTACATATGTTGACTTATGAGCCAGTGATTAGTGTTATCATCATTCAATTTCATGGTGATAGAACAGGCTGGTCAGCTTCTTTTGGTGACAGAGAAGTTCTGGTCAGTAAGTTGGTCCATTAGTAAACCGACCAATATAAATGAGCAGGGGTAAATTAGTCTATATAAGCTTGCGTAATGATATGATGTAGGTCCTAATCATTGACAGAAAGCAGAGTGAGAAGGATACAAACATTTTGGGTGGCTCATAATATTATGAATCAGTACATGTAGTATTGATTAGATGGGACAAAGTTCAGATACCTATTGTATTTGTAGCCAGACTCAAACTTATTATTCAGATAATAATATTTACTTCACTCTATTCATTTACTCTTTCTTGGTGTCTGAATCGAGATATTTTGGTAAAATTGTCTGATTCTGACATTTTTCATTAGGTGAGATTAGTCCAAAATCAAATGATACAAAGATATAATATTTTTTTTTTATTTTGTAAAATATCATACAAATGATGTGATTAAATATACGCAACGTAATCAATTTTTTCTTTTAAACATTAAATGTTGCGGTTTATGCCAAATATGAGATGGTTTAACGCATGTCTAAATGGTGCAACTGCTCATGCTCCTATCTCTTAAACTAGATCCCAATCTACAGGGTAATCTATGGCTTTTAAGTTTTAACCTAGCTTGAGGATATCAGGTTCTTCATTCCCAGTTGATATTGAACTAAGTTGGGATCATTTGCTTGGTTGCGTGAAGAGCACAGGAGTTTTCTAGACGTCTAGTACGCACCGATGTATGGCATACACCTGAATCCTTAACATATCCAGCCCTCTATTCAGCTGAGGTAGATAAGTTTGCCCCATTGTCGGCATAATATTGCACATGCTGTGTGGAACAAAAAGGGATTCATGGTGAGAACATGAATCAAAAGGCAAGCGCGTGCTCTACTTGGAGTTGAATCTCTCTATTGGATGGCAGCTAGCTTCCATGGTACCAAATTCAACTGTCTCACTATAAGTGGAAGCCCTGCAAATTAGTTTTGTTTACAAAAATCTTGGCCACAAGAATGTAAGCACCAATTTTTCTCTATTCATTTGTGATACCTATTATTTGCAATTTTTTTGAACAGTCGATATTTTGAAAACATCGAAGAAATTCTTAAATTTCGGATAATATCGACAGATTTCGTCGGTATTTATGATATATCGGTTAAATATTGACAAACTGCCTTTTGACATTCTCTAAAGTTTCATTTTAAATTTACACATTTTTGAGTAAATTTTCATTATTTCCATCGAAAAAAATATTATATGGGAGCTTTATATATAGAGACAATTTTTTTTACTATATTTCAAGGAACTCTACTAGTTTTTAAATATGTCAAGGAGAGACAAAAACATAAAAACAATTAAAGGCTAGCCCAAAAACATGAAAACAATATTTTAAAATACTAACCATACCCCCTAAGATTTTAGGCTTTCAATAGAATCCAACTCTCACAACTCCAGCAAAATTAATATGTTTCATAAGCTCAACCCATTTTTGACTATTTATGCAGAATCAGTTTTGAAATTATATGTAGAATAAGTTTGTATCATTTATTACTATAATCAGTTCAATCAGTCATTGACTATTTTTGCATAATCAGTTTAACCTATTTTCGACAATTTTTGCAGAATCAGTTCAACCCATCTTCGATCATTTGCAGAATCAGTTCAACCCGTTTTCAACCATTTTTGCATAATTAGTTCAACCTGTCCTTGATTATTTTTGCAGAATCAGTTCAACCCGTCCTCGACCATTTGCAGAATTAGTTCAACCCGTTCTCGACCATTTTTGCAGATTCAGTTTAATCCGCCATCGACTGTTTTTGCACAATCAGTTCAACCCGCCTTCGACCATTGTTGCAAAATCAGTTCAAACCGTCTTCGACCATTTTTGCAAAGTCAATTTCAAATACATGTAAAATCAGTTTTGTATACTTTTTTTACTTTAAAAAAAAATATGCAACTTTATTGACTTTAATACTTTAAAAAAAATGCAACTTTCCTACTCATACGATGTCACATCCCCGCCCGGGCCCCCACCACAACCCGAGCCTGCTCCACCACCGTAGCACGATATTGTCCGCTTTGGGCCCCGACCACGCCCTCACGGTTTTGTTTCTGGAAACTCACACGAGAACTTCCCAGTGGGTCACCCATCCTGGGAGAGCTCTCGTGCGCTACTCGCTTAACTTCGGAGTTCCCATGGAACCCGAAGCCAGTGAGCTCCCAAAAGGCCTCTTGCTAGATAGAGATGTGAATATACATATAAGGATCACTTCCCTGGGCGATGTGGGATGTCACAATCCACTCCCCTTAGGGGCCCGACGTCCTCGTCGGCACACACGCGACCAGGGTTAGGCTCTGATACCAATTGTCACATCCCGGCCCGAGGCAGAACCACTTCCCGGGCCCGACTCCACCACCGTAGCACGATATTGTCCGCTTTCGGCTTACCATTCCCTCACGGTTTTGTTTTTGGGAACTCACGAGCAACTTCCCAGTGGGTCACCCATCATGGGATTACTCTTGCCCTCTTCTCGCTTAACTTCGGAGTTCCTACGGAACCCGAAGCCAATGAGCTCCTAAAATGCCTCGTGCTAGGTAGAGATGTGAATATACATATAAGGATCACTCCCTGGGCGATGTGGGATGTCACATACGAGGGAGGTGAGGGTTACGGAAGAATCGAGAGTATCATGGAACATGAAATTGAACTAGTTTTATATATTTTATAATAGAACCAGTTTGTATAGTTTTAGAAGAATTAGTAAATGGGGAAGCCTAGTTTGTGTTGGGTTGAGTTAGATTGATTCTTTGTAAGTTCCAAAGAATTTACATTTTTTATCAATCAAATTAAGTTCAAGGTTAATTAACATCCTCCTTCAAGTTAAATTAATCACTATGTATTAATTTAATTTCTCTTGTGCAAGCTTCATCATGTGTTCAATCTTTTGAGAGTTCATTGAACAATGTCCAAATGTATAAGAATATAAGATTGACGCTTGTTTTGTAAGTTGGTCTTTTGTTTACTTGGATCAATTTTTTTATCCTTTTAAAATGTTTGAGAGTATATTTGATGTACCTGATGAAACAAATAAATTTGAAATAGGTTTTCTAAAGTCTCATTCCCAAGTGTAAATATAATTGTTTTAGCTTTTGTACTAGTTAACCTCAACTTATGATGGGAAGCTCATTCTTGCGGCAAAAAGGTGTAGATGCCCAATCTGCACGACTACATCATCTCTTTAAACCCCGAGAAACAAGGCACCTAGGTGGCACGAACAACTCCAATGTTGGAGAGAGAAGTGTGAAAAGATACCATAGATAAAGGGTATTTTCGTCAGTTAAACTCCAAAGAAAAAAAAAAAACAAATGATGTCATCTTTCAAATTTATTATTGTTTGTCTCTCCTTGAAATGTTTAAAAAATGTTGTCTCAATATAAAATTAAGTAGTAAAAGTATACTCTATATATAATTTTTCCATATTATATCTATTGATATTTCCACAAATTTACATATTAATATTTTCAATGATACCGATATTTTAAACACTGTTAATACCCAACAATATAAAAATTAAAAGAAAAAAAAAGAAGGATTCAAGGCAGCATGTGAATATTAGGTAAGCATCAAGATTTTTTGTGACAATAAATAATCTCATTCCTATGAATTATTTTAGAATGCAAGGGATGTTGGGGATAAAAAAAAAAAACTAATTGTGTGAAGCCAGGTGGATAGGCTTCTAAATTGGCAAACCCAAAACTCACCTGTATCTCATGTGCTTGTGCTCAGTTGGGGTGGGAATTTATGCCAATTCTCCGATTGCTCTAAGATCTTGATTCATTTACATTTATGGAGTGGAAGGAAACACAACTAGACAACTCTAAAAATTATATCAGTTGTCAGGTACTTTCTTTTACATTTATGGAGTGGAAGGAAACGCACCTAGACAACTCTCAAAATTATATCAGTTGTCAGGTACTTGGAACTCACGTGCGATTAGAATTATTTATTTATATATTAAGAAATTTTAAGTTCGAACCTTTATTCCGAAATATTCATATACATAAAAAGATATCAAAATACATAACTTGGGTCTTTTGGTTTGGATCTTTTGGAGGTGTTTTGAGATGGAAAGCAGCAAAGTTGGACTCTGAGATGATAGTGAATTTTAGGGCCCAAAATTGTACTTGTTTAGACTTTTTGTTACCAATATTTGGACTGGGCTCATGCAACATGGCTAGGGCCTAATACTTACAGAACAATCTGGGTAATTAGGGTTTATTCAACTAATTAATCAAGTATTGACCAGCAACCAGTCCAAATTGTGATCAATTAATCACTCAATTAGTGTGTGCTTAGGAGTTAGGCAGAGTTTTGAAGATAGGGAACAGATGGTATCTGTTGCAACATAAATTATCCATCTAACCAATTAAATCCAAAATGATTATGTTTTTTATTTGTCCATCCAAAAGGATTATGTTGGATGAGGCACGTAAAATACCAGAAAAGAATCACCCCAACCCAACAATTACACACATATAATATTTGTCACTTTGGTCCAAAACAAAATCAATCCATATGCTGCCCCTTGTTGTTAAGAGTAGGTAATTTCGCGTCTATGAAGGAAGAGATTTTGCATGTCTTATGAGTAGTTTGACTAATCCTTCATGGTGTCTATGGAAAAAAAACTTCTTAAGGGTATTAGAGTAGGTTGTCTTGCTTGTGAAGCTCAACGGCTGCGCATGCTTCACGTCACCAATTTGTGTTGTCCACGTGCTAGTCTTGAAAATTCATCAAACGTGACAAGGCATATTGAAAATATTAATTTCACATCGAGTAAAGAAGAGACTTATACCCTTATAAGTAATTGAGTTATTCTAATGTTACCAATTGTTTTTCACACCACTGAGCAGGAGTGAGTTATACAATAACCTACTTGAAACTACATTTTTACTCCTTGTGATTTATTAAAAAGTAATAAAAAATTTCCTGTTGGGGATTTGTTTTGAAGTGCAATTTCTGTGTTTCCGAAGTGAATGAGATTCATGCGACACCTACTTTGCATAAAAAAACTCCCACTTTCTTTACTTTTGAGACAAATTGCTCGACAAATTGTTCGATCCCCTCTGAGAAACGGGGGACCACTACTCTCGTATCAACAAGATGTAACCCTACCTAGCTACCCTTCATATGCATGGTTCACGGTTGAACTTGAAGCTCCCTCTTTGCAGTCTTCTTTTCTACTGCCCACTTCACATTACTAATAAAATCTAAGAAACAACACTTGAGAAAATAGTACAACAATGACCTAGGGGAGGGAATGCCGACATACGTCTTGAACGCGGAACCTCTTTCAATATTTAAATAGTAGAGTACCATAGCTTCCGTTTTTTCAAAGTTCAATATCTTTAAACCCAAATGTTAACTACAAAATTATTTAAAATGCAACTCATTATCCATGATGTAAATCAAATCCACGTCGAAACACGTTGTTACACTCTCAGAGTATGAAATCAAAACGAAAAAAAACTTACTAACTTGGAGATTAAGTTAAGCAAACACTTATTCCTTGACAACTTTCTTGGTCATGCTTCCATCTAATTAGTTACTTTTTTCCTACCAAGGGCGCTAAGTTAACCTATCTTTTCCTTTATTAACTAAACACTTTAAGACTTATCCTTTTGACTAACCATTCGGATCACCCACCAGTCACGATCACACACATAACCTTCCAATGGCATTTAACGTAATAAACTCCAACTCCAGCCCCCATTGATAACCACCACCTACCTGTATTTCCCAGATTTTGACTATTTACAACTTCCTATTTCAGTTACCAGAAAGTATTCGCATACAAAATCCAATTCCTTGGCATCTAAGTTAAACAGTGCACACTCTTTCTCTAACTCCCCAAATTTAGAAGCCCACCTCTCTAATTTCCCTAATTTCCGTTTTCCCACCCAAAAATCCCTAATTTTCCATTCGGGATCGGCCCCCAATTTGCTTGTTCATTGCAATTCCGCTCCTTGGTTCGCCAAGTATGTAAATTTCTTGTTTCTTTTTTTATTCGGAAATTTATATCCCAATTGCGAATTAGGGATTCGGAAATTCGGAATCTTTTTGGGGATTTTATTACCCTTTGTGTTTTCTCATTAAATTTGGATCTGGTGGTCAGGGGTGTTTGTTGTGTGTGCGAAATGAAGATCGAGGAACTGGAGGCGGAGGGGGATTGTGATCGGAATGACGGCCTTTCCGGGAGGCAGATAGTTGGGGTTGACGACGCCAAGCGAGCACTCGTTGGAGCCGGGGCGCGGATCCTCTTTTACCCGACCCTGTTGTATAATGTGCTGCGGAACAAGATGGAAGCTGAGTTCAGATGGTGGGATGAAGTTGACCAGGTTTTTCTTTCTCGATTTTGTTCAATTTATGTATTTTTGTGGTTGGGTTCGTTAATCCTCTGTTTGTTGACCTAGAAATTGTAGGAAAATTGATTTCTTTTCTTCTTTTTTTTGTTGATTTTAATTTATATATCCTTGTTATGTAGCTACGATTTGTTTGGTTTCTGAGAAAGTTGGTTTCGAAAGAAGAAACAAGTTTTTGAAATTGATCAATTTTGCAAGAATTTTGTATGGGATCGGAGAATCAATGATATGTCGCTTAATATAGGGATTTGTTGTTTTCCTTTTCAGAATTATTTGTTATTTCAATCAGTTTTCTCACTTTCTTGGCAATCAATCGAAATTTGGGATAAGAAAAAAAATTTGAAATTTTGATGTTTTCAGGACTTTACACAAAAGTGGATTCTTGCATGTTGCTATTACATATATTTGAATAGACCGAGTATATATGTATGAATATCGTCTTGGATTTGTTGTAAGAGGTGCAGTTGTTTGGTAAAATGTATTTCGTTGCTCATTTCGTGGTGTTTAATGGATACGTGGTGCTGTTCTTTCAGTTTGTTCTGCTCGGTGCGGTTCCATTTCCCAAAGACGTTCCCCAGTTGAAGCGGCTAGGTGTTGGTGGTGTTATCACTCTCAATGAACCTTACGAAACTTTGGTTCCGACATCCTTGTATCGTGTGTGTTACTTCTCTGCTCCATATGGTTCTGAATTGCTACTACCATGTTAGAAGTATAAATTTTTTTTTTTGGAGAAATTAGGTTCTCATCCCTCCTTTTTCAACTCCGTTGATCAAAACCTTATTCATTTTCAATTTTTGATCAATGCCCCTTGGTTTTAATAAACATCATTAATTATTTCAATACTAAAATATTTTACATATCAAAATAATTAAATTTTATTAATAAATATATTCATTTAGTGTTAGAAACGTTACATTTGATATATATATATATACATACACACACTTACTTATGGGTAAATTTTGTATCATATATTTTTATGTTTAGTTTGTACCGATTTTAATTTGCAGCCCTTTTTTTAAATTGTTGTAACTTTGGATGCGGTCCTTATTTATCAACGTTCTTTGATTGAAATCTTGTTAGTTTTCAGTTTTTGATTGGGAATTAATACAATAATACATTTCTCTGTAGGTTATTATAATTTTAAATTAAATTTGATAGTTGTAGTTACTTATATTAATGAGATATTAAATAAAATTCATGATTTGTTGGGTTGAAAATATTCAAAAAATAAATTATACTTATATAAAAAAGTATAATTTATATTAATGACATGATTTGTTATTAAGATAAATTATATTTAAATAAAACACATTATTTGTCATTACTAATATTAATGACATTTTACATACAAAAAATTGGTAATTTTTATATGATACTATTTACATACAAAAAGTTGGTACATTTTATACAAAAAAGGTGGTACGTTTTAGATGAAAAAATTGGTATATATTATATACAAAACAATGGGTACATTTTATATAATAAAACAATGGGTAAATTTTGTATCATATATTTTTATGTTTAGTTTGTACCTGCAGCCCCTTCTTTTAAATTGTACAAGTTTTCTTTTCAGTTTTAGTTTGTACCCATATATTAATTTCTTGTTGTGTCCATATTTTTCAAACTTTTATTTTTACACATTTTTTTAACCTTTTTTTTTTTGTACCAATAATTTATTGATAATGTACCTATTTTTCTTTAAAGATGTTCCACCTTGTTATATGTAAAATATACCAAATTTGTTTTTGTAAGTACCATGTTTTTTATGTAAAATGTACCTATTTTTTAATGTAAGATGTATTTATTTTTTTAATCTAAAATGTACCCATTGTTTTATTATATAAAATGTACCCATTGTTTTGTATATAATATGTACCAATTTTTTCATCTAAAACGTACCACCTTTTTTGTATAAAATGTACCAACTTTTTGTATGTAAATAGTATCGTATAAAAATTACCAATTTTTTGTATGTAAAATGTCATTAATATTAGTAATGAAAAATAATGTGTTTTATTTAAATATAATTTATCTTAATGACAAATCATGTCATTAATATAAATTATACATTTTTATATAAGTATAATTTATTTTTTGAATATTTTCAACCCAACAAATCATGAATTTTATTTAATATCTCATTAATATAAGTAACTACAAATATCAAATTTAATTTAAAATTATAATAACCAACATAGAAATGTATTATTGTATTAATTTCAGGGACCCCAATCAAAAACTGAAAACTAACCAGATTTCAATCAAAGAACCTTGATAAATAAGGACCGCATCCAAAGTTACCCAATTTTTCTTGGTTCTTGTCCTTGGATAATATGATGTAACGAAATCATTATTTCAAGTTTTTTTCCTCTAACGAAAATATGTTTTTAAATGTCTAAATAAGGACAAGTTTGAAATCACCTTTATTTGATCTAACATATGAGAAAAGGAACCCACAGATTAAGATTTGAAACTATAATGATTCTTTCTATTTGTTTTGAGATGTTTTATTATCCTGCCAATAAGAAGAGTGAAATGCATTTAAATCTTCTCAATCTGGATTGTACTTATTCGTTTAAGATGTTTGATGGTTCTCAGGCCCATGGAATTGACCATCTTGTAATTCCCACGCGAGATTATCTATTTGCTCCTTCCTTTGTTGATATCGACAGAGCTGTAGAATTCATTCACGGTGAGGATCTTATTCAACTTCAATATTTTGCTAGTTCGTAATTTTTAGCTTTCATTTGTAGAGCTGTTAATTTAATTATTTAACCTTGGTTCCCAAACACAGAGAATGCATCGTGTGGTGAAGTTACTTATGTGCACTGTAAAGCTGGTCGGGGAAGGAGCACAACTATCGTGCTTTGCTATTTGGTAACTATCTCCTGCTTTTCAAAAGTTGCTGGTTGCATTAGCTGAAGAGTTACTGATGATGAACCCTTGTCAACCTCTAGGACATTATAGGATTGAATTGATTTGCTCTCTGCAGGTGAAATACAAGAATATGACACCATCTGCAGCCCTAGACTATGTCCGGTCTAGAAGACCACGTGTACTGCTAGCCCCCTCACAATGGAAGGTATGTGTTGTAGTTCTCTCTTGTATATATGCATTTTGTTATAATCTGCAATCTTCTATCATTCATTGCTGACTGATTTTATTAATTCCCATTCCCGTACAACCTCAATCACCATGTTTTGCTGTTTCTTGGCAGGCTGTTCTAGAATACAGCAGATGTGGATCAACTACCGCAGCATGTTCTCCCTCAGGAGATGCAGTTTTAATTACCAAAGATGATCTTGAAGGGTACCATGGAACTTACGACGACACTGCTCGTAAGCAGTTGGCAATTGTTCCCAAAATGGTGAAAGCCAGCCCCATGATAGCTAGGTTATCATGCCTTTTCGCATCCTTGAAAGTCTCAGGAAATTGTGGACCAGTCGCGAGGCGGTTGTCTGTGCCGGAGCCACGTGCTTGCTGAGCTCTCACACATATCACGCAAGTGTCGATAGTTGTTTGCTTGTACAGGAGCACAAGCACGATGGGAATGGAAGTTTTATGACGCGCCAATGTTTCTGGTCGCTTCATGTTTACGAGAGAGAGAGAAGGTAAATGAAGAAATTAAAGATAAAAAAAAAAAAAAAAGGTTTCGGCGGCTTTCTTCAAGATTGTGTATAACGCATTGTCAATGGCTGAGGAATGTGTTTTGGAGCTTCTACATGTACATTACACAGCACGTCAAATTTTCTTCCTTTTTTAATGTAATTTCTTCGTTGTTATTTTCCTAGTTTGTACCAATGGCACACTATGTACTGCTGCTGCTGCATTTAAAGCATCATTGTTTTGCTTTTTAACCTTTGGTGGTGTTGTGTTTTGCTTTAGCAACTTGTGCCAGCGGTGAAACTTTTACGAGGTTTCTTTCTTTCTATTATACACTGGCTAATGTCAAAGTTCTGAATGGCGACAGGTCTTTGGGAGGGCGAGGTGCCATAAACTATGGTACGGACAATGGAGACAAACTGATGCCTGACCTCTGTATACAAAGCATGATACGCTAGAACGGATTTACTGTCATGTGGTGGTTCTTTTCCAATAAACAATGACAAGTGTAAGGCACGTGAGACCAAATACAGGGGGTGTGTTAGTACGGCTGCATGCACGTGGTATGGAGGGGTGGAAGCTAGAATTTTCCACGGACAATGGGTTACAAATGTTATCTTATGCTTAGTCGCGAGGTGTCGTACAGATAACATAGTCATGCACCTTACCTAAGATTTTCCTCTATTTGAACATATGCAATAGCCAACTATTGTAGCTGTAGAGTTTGACCATTTTGATATTTTTCACATAATGGGCGGGTCTTATCTGTCGGGCTATTTTACATTGCTAGGTTGTTTGGATTATTTTGTGGTGATGAGGATCTTGTGATTTACGGATTCCGGCTCGAATTGGCCCATCTATCAATGCCCATTCAAGTCCGGCCAATTGACCAAAGCAATGTGCTATTCAAGTTTTAATCTTTCCGCGTGAATTAAAACAGCTTAGAATATGTTGCGTCATTCTTTCAAAATAGTAATATGCATATTAAGTCATCTCTTCTATATACAGTTCAGTTCAAATGTACCAATAATCATTACACGCTATGCAATTATCGCCGGAGGAACAAGAGCAAAAATAGAAACATGAAAAGTAGGTGGGGGTGGGAGAAAGACAGGTGAATTTTATGCTAACATTGTTTTCAACGTAGGGTTTTTTCATTTAGTGTACACGTAAGTGTGGACTTAAATGGAACCCTAATTTAAATTTCAAGCCTTCAAAAGTCAGGGCCATTTGGCCAGGAATCCGTAAAATCTCATTGTGCAGTCTTTATGGTTGATCTATTGTGGGTTGGCAAGTCTGTCTTTGAGATTTCAGGGGCTTGTATAAAATTTATGATGCAATATGTTCATAAACATCGTCTCCATATCGACCTGTTCCATTCCCGAACCGATGTCCGATCTTTCAGCGAGTAATAATGATGCAGATGTCCCAAAGTCAGTACCATAAATTGAGCTATAAGGGGTCTAAGTTCCGACGCCGAAATGAAAGGAGCTCCCAACCCTTTATTTATTAGGCAAACGTCCATGGTATTTGATTCTGTAAAACCAATAATCTCCTTTGTAACAATATCTAAAGCATTGCCACACCTCACCCTTAACCAAAAGTTGACGCCGAGATAGAGATCAAATTCAGGCAGCTTGTTTTCTCCATTAATTGTAGTTTCCATACAAGAGGGGAGGTCTAATCAAATTCAATATATCTTGGAATGGATCTCCATTGTTTGGACAGTTCATTCCACGCTACATACACGCAGACGAATATCAAATTCAAAAGCTCTGGTGGAAAAGATCATGAAATTTTGATATCCAAGGCAGATGACTCTTCCCTTCCTCCCGTTCTCAATTGCCATGGAGATTTTCCAAGTCGTGCAGCTAGTTGAATCACCTACTTATGGTGAAGATGGTATGTCTTTTTTTGTCGAACCATCAAGCACATTCTTATATGTATTGATATATGCTTTGGTGTGGGTGCCTGGAAGATCATGGAGCGTTCTATCCGGGGCTAGGTTCCCTCTAATCGCTTTGAGCGAGGGTAGGGTAGGATGCTTTAGTAGTCAGGTCACTTGGCCCTGGTGTGTAGTTGTGCTCCCATAATCCTCTTTTGTCCTCGCTACTGCCATTAAAAACTAAGATAGGTTTTAGTGCATTGGTAATTGTTAGTTGCTCGGAAAAAATATATGCTTTCACATCGTTCCTGTTTGATCTCTCTTTGTTAATGAATGCAGTTGTAGACATCAAAATTTCGGTGAAATGAATGTTGACTAATAATTAAAATTTCAACGTTCACGTGTCACATAAATTTTACATGTAGCGTGTGATTCAACGAAAAATCGAAATAAATTGGAAAAGTCATCAAATATGACACGTGTCAATACCTGGCAGAAATGATTTATTTCATCTGATTATTTAAATCCAAAAATCAAGTTTTGGAATTCTATAAATAGGAGGCCAAGGCATTCATTTTGGAGAGGAAGGAAGAAAGAAAAAAAGAAGGAAAAGAAGAAAAGAAGGAAGGAAGAAAGAAAGAAGCCTTGAAACTCTAAAGCTCTCAAGCAAATCCCGAAGGATCAAGAAAGCAATCTTCGTTCTTCGTCAAATCCACCTTCAAGATCAAGCCCCGACGGCCCTTGAAGAACTTCCACCAACTCAAGATCAAGCCCTGACGGCCCTTGAAGAAAGTGTTCATCGTTCATCATCCAATCAACCTTCAAGATTAAGCCCAGAAGCCCTTGAAGATCCGCTCATCCATCAACCTTCAAGATCAAGCCCCAACGGCCCTTGAAGAACTTCCACCAACTCAAGATCAAGCCCCGACGGCCCTTGAAGAACTTCCACCAACTCAAGATCAAGCCCCGACGGCCCCTTGAAGAAAGTGTTCATCGTTCATCATCCAATCAACCTTCAAGATTAAGCCCAGAAGCCCTTGAAGATCCGCTCATCCATCAACCTTCAAGATCAAGCCCCGACGCCCCTTGAAGAACTCCAACCAATTCAAGATCAAGCCCCAACGGCCCTTGAAGAACTCCCACCAACTCAAGATCAAGCCCCGACGGCCCTTGAAGAAAGTGTTCATCGCTCATCATCCGTTCATCCTAAGATCAAGCCCCAACGGCCTTTTGGATCAACAACCTCAACAAATCCACACATCCAATCAACCTTCAAGATCAAGCCCAACGCCCCTTGAAGATCCATTCATCAACTGTTCACCCTTAGATCAAGCCCCGACGGCCCTTTGGATCAACAACTCATCCACAAACCCATACCTTACGAAGATAGAATCAGAGGACCAAATTACAAAGAGATTGTAACCCCAAAATCATTAATACAAAAAATATATTTTGTACACGTATTCTTGTCTCTTGTGTTTTAGGAATTTCTCGTGTTTACAGCAGTCGATGCCATAAGGAACATCACTACTATGTATCAAATAAAAAGAAACTGGGCTGGTGATCCTTGTGGACCTAAGGATTTCTCTTGGGAAGGTCCAGAACGCAACTATATCACTTCGCTTGCTCGGATTATTTCCCTATGAGTCCTTCTGGGGAACTAGTTTTCTTACAATTCTTTGTCTTTGCAATTTCTAAGCAAAATTGCCCTTTATTGTGATTGGGAACTTGAGTTCAAGCAATTTGAATTGGATAATAGCTGCTTCCATTGCCAAGCTGTCATCGCTTGAGTCCTTGTAGTTGTTCTTCACTTTTGCTTCCATAAAGACTCATCTTGCTGAAGCTATTCACTTTAGTATCCTGCAGAACATACTAACTATAATGCTTTTTGTCCCAGAGATTTGTCGAACAATAACTTAACCAGGCCAATGCCTCTGTTCCTGGAAGAATTGAAGTTTCTCAAATCCCTGTAAGTGTAATTAGTCCGTGATGATGTACTTATTTGACACAAGAATTCCATTATTAAGAGTTGACCTGCAGGAAATTGAAGGGCAATCCGCATTTGAACCTTGCAACTCTCGAAACAGATTTCTTAGAAACAAAGAACATCGCATTTACATTGTGGTCTCGAGAAAAATTCTGCAGTTATCTTTTTAAATCATGAAAAGCGAGGTATTTATCTGTAGGATGAGATTATTGAAGAGGACATGTATGTTATGTTTCTTCGCATTTGTTGCTTTGCTTTTCCAACAAGCTGCTAAACTCTTCATGCTTTTGTAAATAATGACCTTTCAACCGTTGAATCCTTATCAAACGATTGACATCGATTTTCAAACATGACCGTTTCTATTTCCTTTCTCGTAAAAAATACGATTGTCGAGTTTTAATTTGTAAGATCTTCAAGACAAAATTCCAACCCTACTTTTTTATTCTATATATATCCAATGTAGTAGGGTTTGGAAGAGCAAACTAATTGGAAAAAAAGATTAAGCACGCTAAAATGTTGTTTTGGCAAAATCTTTGTGTGTAAAATAGAAATTCTTATAAGTCGGAAGTGGCTTATCATTTATTGAGTTAGAAAAGTATTATTGATAATTATTAAAGCTAAATGCCATGGAAATTGGTCTTTTGACGGTCTTTCTACAATTTTTGCATAAAAGAACTGTAAACTAAGAGTTATAACTTATCATTTTTGTGAAAAATGCAACTTTTGTGATAAGGTCATTTGTATGTGCAGTATGAAAAATATTAGTCATTTAAAGGCGATCATACCTTAAGTTCCATAAGTGAATTTTATTGAATTCTTATATTGTAAAAAAATAAAAACAAAAAATGAATACTAGCGGCCCATAACAGATATTAAAAGCCATAACATATTTTCAGTGGTAAGAACAACTATGGATTGTTCTGTATGAGTTCTATGAAACTTTTGTGCGGCAAAAATTTCATGAACATAAGTTTAATAATGTTTTTTCCAAACTGCACAATATCAACTAAGCTAGTAAGAAAAATATGTTTGTTCGTTTTAATTTGTAAGATCTTTTCCTTGTGCATTAAGAAATATAATATAAATCATTTATGATTTATGGACTTCAGGTCCATGGTGCAAGACCCATTAAGCACATGCTGGTTAACACTCAGCTCGTATAGTACATTTCAGTTTATAAGCGTTATTGTTATAGATACGTCAAAAAAATTAAATCCAAATGCTTCCAAGAACTATGATGAGAATTCAAAAATGGTTTTTTTCTTAAACTTTTTTATGAAACGTTATTAAAGGGATTACTTAGAATTATAAAGACACTTCTAAACATACCCTTAGAATTATAAACTAGTTCCTTTGTTAATGCAGTTTCTAATGTTTGCTACATATTAATCATATATTGTTTAGCTAGTTGCTTAATTTCATAACAGGCGTATGAATGATTTGAAACTCTTTTCCATTACATACATATACATGCTTTCCTTCCAATCGATGTTTGCAGACGGTCTTACATACGTTATAAGCACTCAAAGTTCGGCAGTTCATACATGTCTCTTTTCAGTCTTATCCAAATCCTATCCTAGGATATATACAATTATTATTATTAATTATTATTAGAGCATTGTTTTCAACATCCATAAGCCCTACATTCTATTATTTGTCCAATGGGACACTACCCATTCAGTCTGTACCAGTTACATATCGACGATACTTTATTATAAACACTTCTCCAGCTTAAACTGATGTGATCTAATTGGGCCCTCGTTTGCTTTTCAAAGAAAGCTCCTTTTCAACTTTAGTCCATTTTGTATCTGTATATATACACACAAAAATCTGGTGTTTATATCTGATACCGTATTCACAACATAATTGTAGATCGATTTTTTATGTAAATTAACAAACCATATCTGTGTTGTTCATCCTTCCATCCCAACTCTAATTTCCATATTTTATGCATACAAATCGTCCATGCATGGAACGCTATTCTAATGTTAAATTAATCTGGAAAAAATATGAACATTGTAA